TTAAAAGGTCACTTCAGCAGTGTAGTTGTGTAAGCTCGAATCCCTGGAGTTATCCTTGTCTTGCCTCTCTCTCACTCTTCGTATCTGATCCTCTAGCAAAGCACCTGAGTACTATCTCTATAAAGATCCAGAATGTGAGGGGCGCCTGATGGCTCAGTCGTTAAGTGTCTGCCTTTGGCTCAAGTCATGATGGGTTCGAGCCCTGCATCGGGTTCCCTGCTCGGTGGGAAGCCTGCTTCTCCCTCTGCCTGACACTCCCCTGGCTTGTGCTCTCTCTCTCTGTCAAATAAATAAAAACTTAAAAAAAAAAAAAAAAGATAACAGAATGTGATCCACTTTTATTGCCTCCATTGCTACCAACTGGTCCAAGCCATTATCTTTGCTCCCCTGAATTATTACAATGCCTCCTAACTGGTCTCCTCACCCCCTTCAATCTATTCTCCACGTAGTATGAGTGGTTGATCCTATTAAAACATAAGTCAAATGATGTAATTCCTCTCTTTAAAGCTCTCCAATGCCTTTCCATCTTTGACTCAGAGTAGAAGTTTTAGAATGGCCCATAAAGCCCTAAAAATATCTAGCTTCTCCATGACCTTTTTGACCTAAGTTCCTAGGACTACCCTTTTACTCTTTTTTCCCCTCTTAGCCACAAGAGCTTTCTCTTATCTCTTGAATACTCTAGGCATGCTTCTGTTTCAGGGCCTTTGTACTGGCTGCTGTAAACTATGCATCACTATTACCCCAAAAATCCACATGACTCACTCCCTTATCAGCTTTAGGTCTTTGTTCAAATGACACTTTCTTAGTGAAGCCCTCCCTGGCTAGACTTTTTAATACTGCAACTCTCCTCATAAGCCTATCATTCTCTATTCCCTTTCTCTGCTTTATTTTTGTCCATCTCATTTCCAATATATTATATACTTTTTTTGTTCATCATCACTTAAAATTCCACAAGGGCAAAAATTTTGGTATGTTTTGTTTACTACTGTTTTCTCTAGAGCCTAGGACAGCATCTGGCACATACTAGGCACTCAATAAAATATTTGTTGAATGAATGTATGACTGCAACAATGGTGTTCTTTAGCTACCAAAGAAAAAAATGCTGCAGAATGCAGTGTGTAAAAATATGAGCAGGTGAAAATGAATTCAACCTAAATGTACTGAGATTTATGTTTCAAACATCATCAAAGTTTCTTTTATATTGTCTATAGGCTATATGAACTGGAACATTTGATATCACATGGAAGTTGTGTACGCTGTATGTATCTGTGTATATCAGGTCTCCCAAGAGTAGACAATACCTAATCAAGTTTGGAGACCACAGAATGGTTTTCAGAGATGAATCTGTTAATAATCTATTATTAGTACTCTTGGTGGAAATTTCAGAAACCTAGAGCAGTGGTTCTTAAAGTAATTCAGATGATAATATATCTGGAAGACATGGTGCTCTTTGAAGAACACCATTTATTAAGAACATTTACGACATGGTTTAATGAAGATAGTAAAAAATGGTCCCTGACACTGAGGATCTTACAGACTAGAGGAAGAGGCAGACAAAAGTAAGGACTACATGGTGTGACAGGAGTTATTCCTAAGGTGATAAAGAAACAGAATAAGGGAATAGCTCAACTGAAGTGGCCAGAGGCTTATAACTGACTTCCATAAACAGCTGATAATTGATCTGAGGCTTAAAAGGACAACAAATTACACAGGTGAAGAAGGAAAGAAAGGAATTTCTAGGTATAGCATATGCAAAAGCATGAAGGTAAAAGAGCACATGTTAAAAAGGCTGGAAGTCAATAACTCATTTGACTTCAGCATACAACTAAAAGAACTTTTATTTATAGAAGATGACTACACTGCAATATAGCAATATAAAACCATAATCACAAGCACACATATTCATAAAAAACTGTCAATATAATCATGACTGATTGCTGAGTGCCCTATAATACTCATTTGCCACACATTAATCTAGTTGTATTGAAGATAAGTTGCATACTATTACTTGTTAGTGATTACCTAAGCAGGCAACAAAACCTTAACAACTTACTTAGGAAAAACCCTTAAAATTGAGAACATTCTATTAATTCCTTTTCCAGGAAAATGGGAAAAGACCATACTATTTGATTCTAAGTGGTAAAAATACTTGGTTCAGAATACTAGTGTCCAGTAAGAGGCAGAGTGAAAGACCCAATGATTTAGAGCCATTTATAGAAAATCTGGGAGAGACTCTTTCAGACACCAAAGTCACATAGCAAGTGTAGCAAGAGATTTAACTAGGAGTCTTGGCTATCCAAAAACAGCAAGGAAATAGGAAGTGAGCAAAACATTTGCTTGAACAATCAGAGACTCCAAAGCCCATGCATTTCCTCCACAGAGGAAAGTCCTTAAATCTTCCATCAGCCTTTTAATCTTAAACATAATTTTAACAAACACAGTACCTGTATCCTCATTCAGTGTATTTGTGGTAAAAAATCAAGCTGGGTGATGAAGGTGGGAGTGGGGTGTTACATTATGGTTCACTGACAGCACAAGAAATTTAAAGTAACAGCCCGAATATAAAGAGGATAGAGAAAAACTGTATAAAGCAAACACAGGAACATAAAAGCACAGCAGTCCAAGGCATTTAGCTGGGGAGTAAACAGCTGCACACACCCATAAGCAGCTCTGAAAACAACACTAAATCAAAGCACTACATAATAAGTAATATTTCAATGACAGCCCCAAGTCATCTAGAAAATGTTAACTTACGTTCAATGAATTCTTTTTTAGAAGGCAGGGAAGCATGTAATACATTTTGGAAAAATCCATCAAAATAGTTAAAACAAAAGGCATGGATGCTTAAAACTGTAGGTTTTGATACATAATCTTGAAACTTCATATAATAGAACTTATTCCTCCAATGTCATTCCAGTAGGTTAAATTTCTTAAGGCCTGAAAACAATGTAATTTCTAATGTGTCTATTTTATACCTAGAGCAGCCTAATCACTCTATAGAATTTTATCCTCATAAGATCACTAGCTAGAACAGAGGTTCTTAAGAACTGTAGATGAACTCTGATCTACAAACTCACTGAAAGTATATGCAAAATTTTGTGTCTAGTTTGTATGTGCATTTTTCTGGAGGAAAAAGGCCAAAGCTATCACCTGATTCTTGAAGTTCTAAGCCAAAAAAGACTTTAGAATACTAGTTTAGATTAGAAAATACTTTAAATGAGGAAAAAACAGCTAATTTATTCATGGAGAATGACTAACTTAAATTTTATTTCAATGTACTGTTAATGTAAACATAACTAGCATATTATGACAGCTACTTTTTTAAAGTTGCTATATATGTGAGAGCATTTATATAGTATTCAACATAAGCTATAACTTCTAAAACATTGCCGTAACAAATTATCTGGGTGCCTAAAAATAAAATGACTTTGGTTTCTTGTATCTTACTAATACATTTCGCTATATGTAATCATTTTGGTAGAGCCATAATAAGGAATTATGAAACAATTTTTCTTATCACTCTACTCTTCAAAAATCTCCACTGAAGCATTCTACTTAGTTGAATCTACATTCTCTCGAAAGCACCCAATGGCTGGTGTTTGAAGCTCTCCTAACAGATCTTTACCTAACAGAGCTAATGTATTAACTGAGGCTCTCCATGTACACTGTAAAACATAACAAATGATGCTCATGGGATGCTGAATGCTTGTGGTTAACTACGTTACTATCTGTTAAGACTGCATCCTTCTGTTTCCATTGGTTAGGCTGTTTTGTTTATCAACTCCGCTGGGTTGTTCCCAAACCTATTTATGCGATTTTTCCATGTTATAATAATTTACTTAAATATATGTAAAGTGACAAAATAAGTGCTCCCTACTAAGAGGTTTACTGTTTATTTGAAAATTAGGTGAGTGCTTTGAGAAGCTTCAAAAAAGGAGATCCACACCCATATAAATAAAGTTGATTTATATGGGGGGTGAGACACCTATAAAAGAGTAGGGGTGACTATCATGAAATCTAATAGGATTCTGTACTTGGATTGCTTTTTCAAGTATTTAAGTTCTAGATTCACTTTGGAGAAATCAACCAGAAAACTGATGCATTATGGGTATATTTGCACAAGAAAGACAAAGGGGAAATCCAATCTATAGATCCATATTCAAAGAAAAGATCTTGATTCTCTATCAAAAAATCTGGTAAACAAATATATATATATATATTTAAGATATGTATGTACCTTTTTGTCTGTTTTTAAATGATTCTTGCTTTAAGTGAACATCTTTGTATCCTGATCATCGTGAATAAAGGGGACTCTACTAAATGTGATCCATGATTTAGTTATTAAGTTGTTCTTGCTAAGATACCAGAAGGAGCTAATGGCCTTCTGTGGATCATGCTTTACCCCAAAGGAATGAACTTAAAAAGTGGAATTTTAAGCACCATGTCAGTCCACTCAGGGACAAACTGTGCCTTTCTGAATCCCTCAAACCACACTGTAGGAAGATGGCTTTCTTTATCCAAACAGCCCATTGTGCAATCTCATTAAATCATTAGGTAAATCTTTAAAATTTCCATATTGAAGTTAGCTTGGCCAACAGTCTAGAATGAATCTGATAACTGTAGAAGGAATCACAATCTATGGTATGACTGTGGAAATTTTTAGCTGATGCTATCCAGCAAACCACTGAAATACTTTCATTTATTAGATACTGATTCTTACCAATTTGGCTCTGAGAGTTAAAAGAAACTTCCAAGTTCTGGATAACGAATTTACCAGGGAGTTTTTAGAAAACAGAGCATGCGTGAGGAAAAAAATTGAATTTACATGGTGTCACTTGTCCAATATTTATCGCATCCTTAATGTGTGTGCATCACTGTGAGAAACTATACACTGCAGTAATATTAGTGAAAAGGTTTGCCAGAGTTATATTAAGCAGCAAAAAAATTATCTTCACTGAGAACCAGGAAAAGGCCCCAAAATAAAGCATAAACACAACTACCTGGCTGTTTGTGGTAGGTGAGCTCTCTGCTTGTTAAGCAGAACCACCGTTTCTTGAAATTCTTTTTCCCGATCCGAGTTCTTCCCTGAGCTCTTTTATACATCTCACTGCCAAAACAACAGATAGGAAAATTTAGTTACAAATATTAAAATAGTTCATCCAAGACAAAAACTGTTCTTTAACTTTAAATGACATGAAAGGCTGTGTAAGATCATATTAAGTATATGAAAATATCTTTGTCATCTGTAACTTCTGCATTTATTTTGGCCATGTTAAGGGAATGAAGTCTTTAAATTAATTTAATATTTATAATTGTGCTATTCAGAACTAAAAGGGCCAAACTTTAACTGAAGTTCCCCTTTAACTTCCAATGATAATACTACTTCAAGACTGAAAAGTGCTATTACTTTTTCAAAGTACTCTAATATCCATAATCTCATTATATTTACAAAACTACTCTAGGACTACATGAACAAAGAATCACGCCCATGTGGCATAAAGTTTATACGACAGTGTGACTTACCCGATGGATGTTACTTAAGCAGTTCTAACAGAACAAAACCCAGATTTCCTCACTTCCAGACCCATGCTTTTTGTACCACGTAACATCTATACTGACACATGACTTTAATCTCCAAATTCATTAAATTACCCTTCTTTCAGGTGCACAGGCTCACTCGTACCACTGGATTCTTTAGTTTCAGTAGATGAAATTTCATCCAAGAACTAAATAAGGAAATGGGCAAAAATTACACTTTATGATAACATACGTCAAAAATTCAGTTTATCTTAAATATCACCGATAATATTGTAACGTTCTTCTTTAAGGAATACACATACACAGAAAGAAAATTATCATATGATCTCACTGATATGTGGAATTTGAAGAAACAAGGTAGAGGATCATAGGGGAAGGGAGGGAAAAATGAAACAAGATGAAACCAGAGAGGGAGACAAACCATAAAAGACTCATCTCAGGAAACAAACTGAGAGTAGCTGGAGTGGAGGCGGGTGGGAGGGATGGGGTGGCTGGGTGATAGGACACTGGGGAGGGTATGTACTATGGTGAGTGCTGTGAATTGTGTAAAACTGATGAATCACAGACCTGTATGTACGCCTGAAACAAATAATACATTATATGTTAATAAAAAAAAAAATGGGGCACCTGGGTGGCTCAGTTGGTTAAGCATCCGACTCTTGATACTAGCTCAGGTCATGATCTCAGGGTTATGAGGTAGAGCTCCTGCTTAAGATTCTCTCTCTCCTCTTCCTCTGCCCTTCCCCTGACTCTCTCTTGCGTACTCTTTCTCTCTTTCAAATAAATAAAAATCTTAAAAAAATATATACAAGGGAACTAAACAAATGTCCTATCACATCTTCAGTTGTTATAGATGGACCATCCACTAATGGAGGGTAAGAGACATACTTGAATATTTTTTAGTATTTGCCTGAAGGCACTGATTTATTTACTTGAAAAATATTTATTTATAATTATTACATTTATTATTTGCTATATTTATAAGGAACTATGTATGGGACAAATACAATTATATAAAGTGAGAGAAAACACAATAATTAAGATGAACTACGGGGAGGGTGAATAGAGGTCCCAATTTGCTCAGGGCCATTCCTGTCTACAGCTGTGGTCCCAACATTATCAACAGTACTCATTTTTACCTTTTTTTTTTTTTTTAAAGATTTTATTTATTTATTTGACAGACAGAGACACAGCAAGAGAGGGAACACAAGCAGGGGGAGTGGGAGAGGGAGAAGCAGGCCTCCCGCTGAGCAGGGAGCCCGATGACGAACTCAATCCCAGGACCCTGGGATCATGACATGAGCCGAAGGCAGACGCTTAATGACTGAGCCACCCAGGCGCCCCTCATTTTCACTCTTTAAAGTGTCCACGTTTGGACAGTAAATTATATGGCCACTCTGTTAATAGAACTATCCATGCTGCCCTTCCTAAAATCTGTGGGAATAGGACACCAGTACAAAATGAGAAACGGGGCCTCAGAGGCTTTTGCAATTTCTAGCAATGCACATATCCAGACTTAGCTAGTAAATAATAAAGAAAACTCTTAGGTTAGGGCAAAATATCCTATCCTAGTTTAGGAGTCTAGATCCACATCTAAAACAGGAGATAGCCCATGAGAATGTGAGTAGGTGACACAGGACAGATCAGGAATAGGCTCAACTCCTGGCACTCTTAAATTTTTGCTGCACTGACATTAACAACTCTACACATTCTGATTATATCAGGGGGAAAAAAATCAGCTGCTACCATAGCCTAGGTCACAAAAAATGGCAAAACAACCCTAAAATAAAAGACAATACATCATAATCTTGCCAACAAAAGTCTGCCTACACTGTCCCACAAATGTTTCAACAATGTCCTACAAATAAAAGAGCAGCTCTTCCTTTGCCTTTTTTTTTTTTTTTAAGATTTTATTTATTTGACAGTGAGAGAGGGAACACAAGCAGGGGGACTGGGAGAGGGAGAAGCAGGCTGCCCACCGAGCAGGGAGCCCAATGCGGGGCTCAATCCCAGGACTCTGGAATCATGTTCTGAGCTGAAGGCAGAGGCTTAACAGACTGAGCCACCCAGCTGCCCCTCCTTTGCATATTCTTTTCAAAGTCTTTCTCCTCAAAAGCCTTCAGTGGTTGCCTAAAAAGATTTTGGTTGAACTTGCACTATTCTAGATGAAAAAAATTCCAACTGGCTTTATTTTTTTTAAATCATCATTTTCATTTACTGAATCCCTGTGAGAATTCTAAGCGCACACACACAAAAAAGTACAGACATATACTTCAATAAAATACACTCTTGGCAGTCAACTGTGAATCAATCATGCTACAGAAATTGAATAAAATCTTTAAAATTTGGCCTTACTAATTCTGATTCATTAAATCAGAATCATGATAAATACAGTACTTTCTTCAAGCCAAATTTAGATGTACTTCAAAGTAACTTTACAAATTTTAGGGTTTTACAATAAAGCTACATTTTGTTTAGAATGATTCAGAACTAAAGACTCAAGAAATTAAAGATTCTTTCAAAACATTCTTGATTTCTAAGTACAGCAATTTTTGTATGCTATAGGCCTCATGTTAGGATATTATATACTGTAGTCTTTTGTACATTTACAATACATTTTAATTTATAGTAACTTTCCTCAGGTTACTACCATAAGCTTGTATTGTTTATAAACTGTTTAATAATTCATGTATTTTTTTACTATGACAAGTACCCACTATATATCAGGCACCATACTAAGACTTTACTCCCCGCCCCAGACCAGAGGTTCTCAATCAGAAACAATTTTGTTCCTCAGGGAACACCTGGCAATGTTAACAGACATTTTTGGTTGTCAAACTAGAAGCATCCTACTGGCATCTAACTGGTAGAGGCCAAGAATGCTGCTAAACATCCTACAATGCACAAGGCAGCCCCTCACAATCAAGAATTATCTGACCCAATTGTCCATAGTGTTACTGTTAAGAAACCCTAACTCTAGCTATTTGTCATTTGTGTTACTAAGACAGTGGAAATAGCAGCTGTTGTTAAACGTTTAGGTATTTCCACAGTGAAAAATCTCATAGTTTTGTACGGGAGAAGAAAGGAAGGAAAAGACAGCCTCTTTACATTTGATGTACAGTTTAAACATTATTTTTTTAAACTGGGGTTGACTTCTAGGAATAACATGAAATGCTAACATTTCCCCAATCTATATGATAAGAAATGATAATATTTCCAGAGTAAAACAATCATACCTTTTTAACTGCTATAATATATCCTTCTTCTTGAAACATTTTGAAAAATTCACACATGAACGTCTCTTTGAAACTTGACTAGGAAAAAAAAAATCACACAGAGTTTATATATGTTAAATAGAGAACTAATAATATAATGAACTGCATTTCTAAGCTGAGGATTAAGGCCTTAAAGGATTCAATCATATATTTCCAGAGAGTTATAGGATTTGGAGTGGGATTTCTTTCAACAACTGTTAGATGATTATGGCACAAACAGATTCATAGAAGGTTCTTACATCTGTTCACTAGACTCTCTCCTCTGCTTAGACATATTAGTTTATTATTTTTTTTTTACAAATTTAAATGTTTACTAATTCACTTAAAAATAATAATCCCATTACATGTTAATGTAAATTACATTTTAAAATGAAAAGCAACTATATCTTCCAAAACAAAAAAATTAGAAGATTGACTATATTTTTTTGCAAATGTCTTTAATTAGATATATTAGTTTAAATAAAACTTCGTTAACAGGTGACGAAGACACAATGGCTATCTAAAAGATGGCTACTGCATCTGTACATGCGTATTTTTGGTTAGGTTTTGTTTTTAATTTGGAAGGGAATAAGTGAGAGAGAAGGGATCATAAGGTATAACAAGATTTAGAAGTGTGAATACAAAGCAAAAGATATAAAGACTTACCTTGCTTTTGGACAGACTCCCCCAGCTTCCCAAAGTTTGAATGGTTTTTGAGATGAGGGTTAATGTTCTAATTGTCTGTGGATCCTAAAGAATATAAAAAAGACACAAAACTCCTGTTAAGTTTTTAAGAAACAGAATTTGTGTAAGAGGTAGAATAGAGTGAAGAGGCTACATTGCTTTAACGCAGTGATTCAAAAATGTTCATTCAAACCACTGGTGTAGTTAAACTCTAGTTTACAATGGGCACAACTCACTAGACTAAGGAATTAAGAGACTAAAGAAGCCAGATGTCATTTATAATTCCTCCCAAAGTAATTGTATTCAATAATTTGTTACTTCTGAAAGCCATACTTTAATTAATGCTATATATGGTGTTTTGTACAGTATGGCAGCTTGAATTACCTAACAAATTGTATTCACTTTTGAAATGTCAACCACATCTACTTTTTCTACCTTGTCACTTAAAATGGCAGTTTCCAGATTTTCTGTACTCAACCCACCTATAAGCCTATTCAATAACTGATACAGCTTGTACAATCAATCATTTTCATCATGGAAGTGAAGACCTAACTAAACTTTAGAAATGAGAAGTTATCTACGGTTCATGTAGGATCTTAGCAGAAGGTAACTATTTGGGTCTGTTATGGTATTTTTCAGGCCTGCCTATCAGAAAAAAACTAAATATAAATAAAATGGATTAAACAATTCCCCCGATGAGTCCTTGCTCCCTCCTCCCCTTCTTTTTTTAAATTGAGGTATAATTTACATACGGTGAATTGAACAGATTTTAAATGTACATAACCCAATGAGTTTCCACCAATCCATATTATCTGTATAATCAATTCTCCTATCACATATAGAATGTATTCTGGAGATTCAAATAAACAATATCTTCCACCAAAACACAGACTTAAGAAAACTTAGATACAGAAATTGCTTTAGTTTAGTTTTTGGTTACATTCTTAGTATCCCCACATTGAAAATAATAGTGAATGTGAAGGAGAAGAAAGAACCAGGATGTAAGGCAATCTGGAAAAAAAGGAATATCTGGGATATGGTCATTATGATATATTTATGAAATAGTTACACACCTTAATTAAGGTTATTCAGAAATATTTCAGCTAGAACATCCAGGATTCCATCATATGTATAAAAGGTCCCTATAATTCTCTGCCTTTGAAGAACGTAAGATTCTTAACAATGGCTAATAAACTGAATTTCACCAAGACTTCCCTGTTCAAATGTGGTTTTAGAATCACTGTTGTAGGTTATGATTTCCCTGAACTAAAAAAAAAAAAGAGCAAAGCATATTTATATGCTTTAAGCATATGCTGATAAGCACATCAGATATTTGTTTACATCAACATGACCCTCACTACTATGTGACGATCATATCATTTAGCTACTATTGATTCCCTGGTATACTCTACATACAAGCGGTTCTAAATTATTCCCCTGCTACCATCTGCCATCCTAAGTTTTTATGCATGTCCAGTATCTTAGACATCTGGTACCTAGCACACAGCCTGGCACGGGCATCTAGTAGATGCCTTATAACATTCATTAAATTCAAATGAAATGTTGAATCTCTCACCTCAAAACAACATATCTTATTCTTTTTTCCTTATATTAGGTTGAACCATATGAAATTACTATTATTTGACTACTTTTGATCTATAAAACACAAAACAACTTCATACGGTTTCCCATATCTCAAAGGAGGAATTACTCTTTTCCTAAGGTTTACACCCATCATTTTTTCAAGACAATCTGAATCCTCCAGGATACTGATCTGGTTATTAGCAAGCCCTCTTCTCTCTTCACTTTTCTCCCTTTCTGTTGGTTTCTTCTCCTCTGTTTAAACCACATACAGATTTTCCCATTTTGGAGAAGACTCATCATTTAACCAGCTCCCTCTCTGAGCTACTATCGTTCCCTTACCAAACATTCACCAAGTATCTACTAGTCCTAGAAACTGTGTACGTACTCGGGATACACAAACTTGAAAAAGATCCAACCCTTGCTCTTAGGTATTGACAGTCCACATTCAAAGACTGTAAACAGATGACTATAAAACAGTATGACAAATGTCAAGACAGAGAGAGCCACAGGATGCTACAGGTATATGTAAGAGAGGAACGTAACCCAGACTAGACAGTTAGAGAAGTCTGCCTTGGCTGAGTCTTGAAAGGAGCTATCAATGAGAGAACGACGGGTATGATGAGAAAAATGGTTCAGTCCTTTTTTCCCCCCAACCATGAAACTTCTCAAGAGTAGTCTACCATGTCAATGTTAACATAACCCATATTTAAAAATTAGCATTTAAAAAAAATCATTCATGTGTGTATGTACACACATGTACATGTTTGAATTTGCCTATGTCTTTTATTAGCAACAGGGCAAGCTCAATTTTGATATATTTCCTGGGTAAAAACTACATTTACCTATTTATTTTTTAATCTTCTGAAATCTGATTTTTTTTGTACTCTACTAAAACTGGTTTCTCAAAATTCAAAGAACTTCTAAATGTGAAATCCAACCATTAATTGGTTCTCCTCCCAAACCACTCTAACTTTCAATACTAGTCTTGACAATCTCATCATTCCCAGGTTCCTGGGACTACTTCTTGCTCTTAACTTCCATAGTATGCATTAACTTGGTAAAAATCAGGTACTAGTTTTAGATGATGTATCTTACATATTTGTCCCATTTTCCCAATTAGAATGAAAAGTTCTTAAAAAGAGGGGTAAGTTTACACTTAAAAGCGAACAAAAGTTATATGACACAGTATGAACCAGTCCTTCTAGCATACTGATTGGAAAAGTGACATAAAATACGAAGTCTGTGGCTAGAAGGACTTTATTGCAACATCTGTTACAGAAATATGCAAATACAAGGCAGGGTCACAAGCTCAGAGGTAGGAGTTCTGTTTATATCCAGAATGCTGCTACTAAGCTTTTTCAGACCCAGAATTCTGCACAGCTTCAGTAACACAGCCATAAGAAAGGATAATCCTGTGATCAAAAGGACAACTGGCCCACTCTCTGCTGCAGCTATTCACAGACTATTTGTCCTTTGGCAAGAAAGGGTGTGTTGCTGCAAGAGTAGCATGGTTCTATTCAGTTGTCAAAGTGAAATGAGTGGGCAACGTCATGCAGCTGTGAAGAGGAGTGGCCTTCAAAGCCCAGTTTTAACTCTAAAACTCATGTGTCTTCCCTACCCCGTATAAGTTTCGTAAGGGCAGAGTGTCTTCCTCATCACTGCATCTCTAGCACTGAGCACAGTGATGAACACTACAGGTGTTGAACACCTTACTGCCTAAGAGGCAGGAAAGAAGAGGGGTGAGCTCAAAGATTGGGAAGACTGAAGGAGACAGCATTCCAGTTTAACCAGTTCAAACTGAGTGAGATCAAATCATATTTGATCACTTGTGTGACCGTGGAGAAATTGCTGAATTGTGATACTCTTATCTGCAAAAGGGGATGATAACAGAATTTACCTCACAGGGAGGACCAAGGAAGTTAAAACACAAAGTACTTGGAACAAGGTCTACTACAAAGCCCTAAGTATATGTTGGCTATTACCATTATATGTTACACCAGTCAGCAATGAAAGCAATTACATAAGATTATAAAATATCTGGAACATAAAAGGTTAAAGAATCAGCAAATATACTCCATATGAGAAGGAAAGAAAGAGCAAAATTAAGGAGTTTTAAGATGTTAAAAACATGTGTATCTATGCAGTATAGATTCAGATATAATTAACTGAATAGGACTTCAAAACATCTTTAAAGTTTTAAATCTCATATATCTATAGAATCAGGTGAATAAAAAGTAAAAAATGTGGAGCTACCAAACAAATTACGTTCCAATCAAAGTTTCTACACCTTTCAGAAATGAGCCTCTTCAAATTTCTGTGAGATTTAAAAATACCTGCGAGATTAAACTAAACCTCTAACTCATGAAAAAACAAAAACAAAAACAACCCTATGCAAGTTCACACACACACACAACAGTGGAGGGTGGATATAATGGACCCTCTTCACACCTATCATCAAGCTTCAACAACTATCAACATTTTATTACTCTTGCCCAGTACCTTTTAACAGCAACAAAAATTAGAATTTTCAGCCTTCTCTGAAAGACCGAAATGGCCAAGGAAAATGTCCAGTAAATTTAAGTACCAGTTATAAGAAAACAGTCAAGTGAAACTGGCTTGTTATTTTATCTTTTTTAAATTTCAGTAAAAATGGAATAAAGCTTTGAGAAGAACAACACTTACTGGATGATGAGGTCGCAAATGAAAAGTATGAGGTGATACTACGGCTACAGCAAAGAAACGAAGAAATACAAAGCTGCTCACTGCAGAATACTGAACATGAGGGTCATCTGCAGGAAAAAAATGGTGAAATGTCATGCATAAAAACACTGAATTAAAAAACAAAGATGACAAAATAAAAAGATATTGAAAAAACATGTAAACTTAATAGGAGATCAATATAATTTGTCTAGTGGGGACTGAGTTGATGAAATGATAGTAATGATTATGACTAAATTAAAGGAAAAAATCCTATGACTAAAAGAAAGGAATAATATAAAAATTAAAAAAAAGAAAGGGAAAGCTACCAGGTTTTCAGGAACATTTTAATTTGGAAAAAGACTGCTTTCCTCATCTACAAGGAAGACTTCTTAAATTGCAACAAAAATAAAAGTAGTATCTAGTACCACCTAGTGGTAATACTGAATCCTTTAAGACTAGGATAGATTATTTTCAGTTTTAGAATATTGTTTCAATTTTCCCCTCAAAAGTCTTGATAATATCAAAGACAATGCAATAAAAACAACTGGTAGGAATCTTTCTTTTAAAAAAGCAATCAATATTCCATATAAAAATGAAGATGAACTGAAGACAACTTGCGGTTTTTGTCATTCATTCACCTACAGCTTTTGTTTCAAACTGGAGTGAATACTTAACCCAACAGTCATGACAGGGAAGCAGGCAGTGAGGGAAAAAAATCTGGATTTGGTTTGAGTTTAAACTCTTATAAGTCACTCAACAGGTAGTCATGGGCAAGTCATTTAACTTGTAGTTCTTCAATAATACTTGCTGCTGCCCATTCACTGTCTCCTCCCTACTCTCTACTCATCTTCCCAGGGTAACAGAAGAACAAATGAGAAAATATGAAAATATTTTATGACAACAAAACTGTCACTACTGTAGTCTACCGAGGATATGAAAACATTAATATTTAAGCCAACAAAAAAAGTAAAGGTGACACATTTGCATTTATAAAAAGCCATAATATGTTCCAGATAATTTCTATAAACAGAATTAAACATATTTTTTAAAGCCAAGATCACTGGGTAGTACAGAGTACAATGACTAGCAATATGCTTTTGGAATAGGCCAAATCCAGGTTGGAGACCCTTCTTGTCTGCTGGCCATGTCTTGGACCTTGAGCAAGTTATATAACGTTTCTAAACCTCAGTTTCATTATTTACCTAAGGGGAGCAGTACCTCATGCCTCATGTGGTGGTGTGAGCATGAGAGTAGGAGGAGTAGGAAATAATGCAGGCTAGCACCGTGTGTTCATTCACTAAATACTCAATGTGCTTGTCATGATTTAACTATTTAAAAATATAATTTCTGGGGCGCCTGGGTGTTTCAGTCGTTAGGCGTCTGCCTTCGGCTCGGGTCATGATCCCGGGGTCCTGGGATCGAGCCCCACATCAGGCTCTCTGCTCAGTGGGGAGCCTGCTTCTCCCTCTCCCTCTGCCTGCCGCTCTGCCTACTTGTGCTCTCTCTCTGTCAAATGAATAAATAAAATCTTTAAAAAATAATAAAAAAATATATATATAATTTCAGTGAGCAGTTCATCTTGCCATATGTTAATGTCTCTGCTCCCTTTACTTGTGCTGTAAAGACTAGATTTAGTATACTTATTTGAAGTTGATTGTTTATGTCTTTAGTAGACTTAGCAAAGGCATCTACGCCTGAATTTATACACGTTAGTTAGAAAACTCAGCCCTACGACTTTAGCACTGGGTAAATTTAGTGGAGGCGCAGATTAATGCACACACCGTGTGTGTGTGCACATACAGACACACAGACACACACAAGAACAAGATAAAATAGCAAAATGTCTTCAGATGGTTACAGAAGTCTCACTTAAGAATCTCACACAGCTGGGTAAGATAATTTAAGTAGCTACCTTACCTCCTCCCTCTTCCCCCTATTACAATAGACAGATCTGGAAAGACAGCTATAGCAAGTTTATTTACTTATCAGAGATGCATATAATTAGAATAATTCTAAATATTGACAATCAGAGATAGCAACTCTTATTTTTTATGATATGTTTCTAAACAAAGCCTTGACATAGCTATTCTATCAGATTAAAGCATGCATTGACTGATATATGTACCTCAAAATTCTATGTCTGTTGCAACAGAGATGTTTCTAATGTCTCAAACCTATTTCTGTAAAAATGTCCCACCACCAAAACCTTAGCATTCTCAAACTGTCAAATCTAGTCAGTTGTATTGAACTAAAAATTCTCATTATTTAAATGCAAATAAATAAATAAATAAATGCACGAAGGTACAAATAACAAAGGCGTTTTTGTTTATTACATTTAACAATCTCCTAAGTACCGAGTATAAATGTTTACTTATGTTACAGTTCTAAATGTTTGCCTTTCTTAAAAATAATGATTTTTGATTTGCTCTTTGTAATAAGTTGTCATATTGAAATAATACATTTTGAGATTGTAAGGAAATTAAACCAAATGTTTCATAAAAAAGCTATAATTATTTTGCAAAGAAGACTGTACCTATAAACCTTAAACATTTCACATAAGCCAAATCCACAATAAATCTATTAAAAAAACATCAAATACAGAAAAAGAAATGGCATGTTTTAGTAAAATAAGGCACTTACTAGGAAATCTTTGAGTAGCCATTTGCCTTAGAGAATAAAAGGTATCACACATTACAGTGGGGCAGCTCATACTTGATTTTACAATTGTACTGAATAACTTGTCTACATAGTAGCGTAGATTCTCCTGTAGAATTTAACAAGGTAAACATCAGGATTTTAACTTTTACACATTTTCCATAGCCTTTATGGAAAACAATGCAGTGAAAATGAGATTAGGCAGTTACTATCTATTATACTAAAGCTCTGCTTCCCTTCTCTAAACTCACTCAGTTAAAGGACAATTTACAACTTGACCTCATTTAACAGATTTGATTGAGATTAGCTAAATATAACTGGTGAATGTATGGAATAAACTTTACAAGAAGCAACAGAGAATAAAATCATCCAAAGGGAAATCAGGGAAATAACTTGGACATGCAGGCACACGGACACTGTGGCAATTTTATTTAGTGCAATGAAAACCTGTGACTCTAACATAATCATTGTTTTCCCAGAGACAACTAAAATGTTGGTTGACCAAGTCATTGTGCCACTTAGCCTGGTCAGTCTGACCCCAAAGGGTCTAGACTGCAACTAGATACAGCCTTATTCCACTATTGTTACTAGAGCCAAAGAGAGATAATCAGGAACAAAAATAAAGTGAAACTCCATGACAAAGCAACATTCTAAAAACTAGACATAGGAAATACTAATAGTGTGGGCATTAAGTAAAGAATAAGAAGCACTACATCCTTCCACATAGCATTATGGAAGATTATGTTTGGGAGAAGGCCCATTTTAATGCAGTTATAAAGATAACAAGGACTTACCTTATTATTTTCTACATTATCTCCCTCTTTCAATTTAATAGGATCAATTTCACAGGATTTTGAGGATTCACATATCTGAAGGGAGATTAATTTTTCATTTAATTCGCTTTTCTAAATAATTTGGCAGAATGAAAATAGCTATTATTTTTCTGATAATACAATTATAAAACTTAAAACCATAACGTTTATAACCCCCATCCAGAGATAATGTATACAATACTGCAAAAGAACTGTCAAAATTCACTTCTAATATATTTGAAACTGTAGCTAAAACCAAAATCTTGTAACAACAACAACAACAAAAAGAAAGAAATCCAGTAACAAAAAAAAATAATCATGTAGATTATACTCAATGTGCTCTTCAAGTAACAATCCACTGATGGAAAGGTACTTCTGAAGGGCTCAGCCTTATTCTTTCAGTAGTACATGAATGGGTGTATGATCCCTGTCACTAGGTCACTTGATGAAAGAGAGGCCACAGAGACTTCAATTATCAGAGGTATAGCCCATACCTCATCTAGAATAGGTTTTAATGTGACTTTCAGGTAGTGCCCTCCCACTATTTTCATCATCTCATCCAGACATCGGGTAGCCAAAGAATTTCCTCTAAAAATTGTGTTTGCATCTCTGAAATACAAACAGAAATAAGGTGAAACCAAGCATTCACAGCATTCACAAATGCTGTGAAATCAATAGCATGAGATATATGACTTTGGCTATATATACAATTTTAGTAATTTTTACCATCCATTTAAAAAGCTTGCTGCCAAGACATGAACATACATTCCCCAAAGAAGACATAGAGGGCCAACAGACACATGAAAAAGTGCTCAACATCACTTGGTATCAGGGAAATACAAATCAAAACCCCAACGAGATACCACCTCACACCAGTCAGAATGGCTAAAATTAACAAGTCAGGAAACGACAGATGTTGGCATGGATGCGGAGAAAGGGGAACCCTCCTACACTGTTGGTGGGAATGCAAGCTGGTGCAGCCACTCTGGAAAACAGTATGGAGGTTCCTCAAAAAGTTAAAAATATAGCTACCCTATGACCCAGCAATCACACTACCGGGTATTTACTCCAAAGATACAAATGTAGTGAAAAGAAGGGGCACATGCACCCCGATGTTTATAGCAGCAATGTCCACAACAGCCAAACTATGGAAAGAGCCCAGATGTCCATCGACAGATGAATGGATAAAGATGTGGTATAGATATGTACAATGGAAAGTACATCAGAAAGAATGAAAGAATGAAATCTTTCATTCAGTCATCAGAAAGAATGAAATCGTGCCATTTGCAATAACGTGGATGGAACTAGAGGGTATTATGCTGAGCAAAATAAGAGAAAGACAATTATCATTATGATCTCACTCATATGTAGAATTTAGTAAACAAAACAGAGGATCATAGGGGAAGAGAGGGGAAAAAACGAGGCAAAATCAGAGAGGGAGACAAACCATAAAAGACTCTTAATCATAGGAAACAAACTGAGGGTTGCTAGAGGGGAGAGGGTGGGGGGGATGGAGCACTGGGTGTTATATAAGACTGATGAATCACTGACCTCTACCTCTGCTGCCATTAGGCTTTTCAAACTTACCAAAACTATTTACCAAAAATAGTAAGAACTTAAAAAAAAAAGCAAACAATATTAATGAACTACAAAAGTGGAATGTGTGTGTATATGAGACAGTGCTATGACAGGACTGGGAAGCCACCTGACTGCTTTTCATAATGTCACACATATGTATACAGGGGTGATACATAATGGGTAAGGAGGAAAAAAACCGACTTCTGACCTGGCATTTTATCTTGACATGTGAATAATTACAAGAAGCCGCCAAGATTAGTAACAGGAAATTTTGACACTGAATAAAAAAATCCTTCATTAACTGTTAATGTTGCTGTTGGTGGATACCGTTTGCTAACTTAAAGAACTGCCTCTTATTTCTTGCTAAGTGTTCTTTTCAGACTCCTATCCAGTAAGGCTGGTCAATACAAAAGAAATTACAAAAACAATATGGCAAACTAAAATCCAATTTCAACACACATAATTAACATTTTAATATAACTCTTACTGTGTATCCTTCAAGTCTAATTCAGCCACTGCAGTGGCAAAAGGAACAAGTTTATCATGGTGCAGCAGCAGTCGTACAAGGGGCAAAACAGCATCATTTTTATCTCGACAAATTTCACCCAAAATGTAAGCAGCTGAGGCAGATATCGGCTAGAATATAGAAAGGCAGAAAACAAGCACAAAATCAAGGAAACACGACTAAATGCCCCATCACTAGCCTGTATAAGTAATTCAAGCGTATTTATTGACTATTACCGTTGTACAGAATAATATTTAATTTTCTAGGGCGCCTGGGTGGCTCAGTCGGTTAAGCGACTGCCTTCAGCTCAGGTCGTGGTCCTGGAGTCCTGGGATCGAGTCCCACATCGGGTTCCCGGCTCAGCAGGGAGCCTGCTTCTCCCTCTGACCCTCTCCCCTCTCATGCTGTTTCTCTCTCTCTCTCTCAAATAAATAAATAAAATCTTTAAAAAAAAAAATTAATTTTCTAAAACTTTTCTCAGAGATGAAATTTCAAGCACGTCCTAGAATCAGTACTGTGGTTCAGATAAACTGAATATATATATGTATATATATTGACTATTTTAATAAAACTTGATACTCTGAAATCTTTTCCACATCATTTACGGGATTATTTTAGCCATTTCACATTAAATCATACCCTTAAGATTTTTAAAGTACCTGAACATCTGGTGATTTTAGCAGCAACGTTTTCAAAGGACCATAGTACTCTGAAGGAAGCACATAGTCTTCTGTATAACATATATTTAATCGAAGAGACCCCAGATCATCAGTTTTAGATGACTTGTTTCCATTGTCTCTTGGTTGTAGCAAGTACCTAAAGTAAAAATACAGTTGAATTCATGAGATGATAATGAGCATCCAAGTCAGTGAGGTAAATAAACAGCTAAGCTGTAAAAAAAAAACAAACCAAAAAAGTCAGCTTAGTATTTAAGGTTAAGACACTTTATAAGTAGCCAACTATCAATCTTCAGAGGCTTAATATTGGTTGTATATTGAATAGAAAGCTATAAACAGATTTTTACCCAGGAAACAAAAAGTACAGGTAATACAAAAATTAAGATCTCAAAGGGGTTGAATGAGTTTGATTAGCTTGTAGATTTAGGAAAAGAGAATAAAAAGTAAAACATTTAAAATCCAATGTATACTCAAAAATAACATCTCACTAACTAAACTTAAGACACATTTAGCTGAAATAGATAAGACATACCACAAGAAGGCACAAGTGATCTTGTTTTAAAGTAAATCTTATATTTGTAAAAATCTGAACTTATTTTTTAAAAAGTTAGTGACTGAAGGTTTATAGATTTTTATATTATTAAAGGAGAAACAATGTAACTACACTGAAAATATTTTTATTTGCAGAAATCAGATTTACATGAATTTTTTTTATTTAGGCAAGTAGAAGGCAAAAAGTATATATGTACAAAGAGAGGTTTAAAATTTTCCAAGAAAAATGTTTAGAAATCAAGAGGAGTTTGTTGGACAAAAATCAGAAATCTAATAGTTATTTTTAAAGACTTTTTATCACGGAAATTTAATAACACATACAAAAGTAAAGAGAACAGTATATCTATTGAACCCCCATGCACCTATCACCTAGCTTTAGTCATCATCAACTCGAGGCTATTCTTGTTTCAGCCATACCTCTACTCACTCCTCCCATCCCATTCCTGCATTATCTTAAAGCAATTTCCAGACGTCTTATAATTTTATCTATAAATATTTCAATATATATAACTTTTTAAAAATTATCATTATCCAGTTTGTGTTCAAACTCTCCCAAACTTTATCATGAACACTTTTCTACAGTTTGTTCATATCCAAGGTCCATACATTACTTGTTCTTTTAACCTCTAGATTCCCTATACCCCCTAAGAAATCTGGTAGTTAGAGTAGAATTTTCCACAATTAGGGATTATGCTAAATCTATCTCCATGACGTCACTTAACATGTTCTTTGTCCTCTCTGTACTTTCTGTATATTGGCAGTTAGATCTAGAGGCTTGGCTAGATTCGGGTTTGATATGCTGGCAAGAACATTTCACTGATAGTGTGTAGTTCCATAAAGAGGCACTAATGTCTCTCTTTTTGTGATATTAGCAGTCACTGATGAACACTGCCTAGAGTCATTAACTTTCAGAGATTATAAAATGATAGCTTTTAATTTTTTTTAAAGATTTTATTTATTTTTTTTTGTCATAGCAAGAGAGCACAAGCAGGGGGAACGGCAGGCAGAGGGAGAAGCAGGCTCTCTGCCGAGCAGGGAGCCCGATGTGGGACTCGATCCCAGGACCCTAGGTTCATGACCTGAGCCGAAGGCGTCAGACGCTCAACGGACTGAGCCACGCAGGCGTCCCAAAATGATACTTTTAGAATTCTATCATTCCTCCTTTACTTACTACCTGGAATATTTTTTATAAAGTAGAGTCATGAGTTTTGATACTTACTTTTGATATTTATCACCTATGGCCTCCCCATTATACTAACTTGTTTAAAAACAGAAGGTAGGGAGGGTTTAAAAGAGTATTTACTAGTTTTGAGAAAGATAGAATTAAAGACATAAAAGGGAACTAGAGAATCAACCAAGCAAAATTTAAAAGATGAGAGGATGACAATAAAGGGAGAAGAAATTATATAGAAATTATATCACTATCTACGAAAGAGGAATCTCTATTTTGAAACACCAGCCTTCAGAATTTCTATTCTCTCATTTGAGAAATAATGTTTTAAAGATTTGCCTGAGGAAATAACTGCATATAAGCCTATTAGCAAAGGTGACCCAGAAGTACCTCTAAGGGAAAAGTCCAGTTGGCTGATCACCAAACATCCTGAAAAGGACATTACTTTGGTCAAATTCCACAATCTACTATATGTTTTGTAGACCTGCAAATTCAGATACCTAGTTTTATCTAAAAGTAAACCTGAACTGCAATGACTGAGCATAGAGACTGGTATATTTAAAGTAGAAAGATAATTTCTAAATTTATGAAAAGAAATACAACAGTCAAGCAGTAAAAATACCTGCACTTTTTTTTTTGTGACCAATACATTTTATTATGCAAGCACATGTTCATTCACAAAGGTAGGGCAAAAAGTGGTTATATTAATAATGAATACCCTCAACTCACTACGTCCCCCATGCACTTACCACTCGGCTTCAACAATTATCACTGTTTCCCATGGTGCTTCATCTATATTCCTCACTGCAACTAATACATTTTTTTTTTTTTACCTGTTAATACTTTTTAATCTGTTTAATGCATTTTTTACCTACTGATAAGCTATTTGGAAAGCCATATTATCAGAGGGACTATGGTGAGTACAGAGATACAACATAGAGACTGAGGTAGTCTTAAGAATTCCCAGCTAAGATTAACAGTTTTGCCAAGGAAATAGGAATGCTTCTGGAGCAGAATCTCCTTCTTTCTTGATTGTATTTAAATGGGTAGTACCTACCCATGTTTGCCTCTTTGGGATCCTTTCTTATTATTCTAATAATCCCTTCCGTTTTAACTAGTGTTTTCCATATATGGGATATAAAAATAAAATAACAATACTTTTATTATAGTTACAACTTGGTTCTGCCTCCCTAAGATTGCACTTACCCATCTTAAATCTTAAACAATGTCCCCATATTCTAGTCAGATTTACAGACTCTGTTTTGGTTTGTTCTATAGGAATTTTACTCAGAGGGCAACTTTAATTCCCTTATCTCCAAATTACTGGAGGAAGGAGTATACTTTGTCCCTCTGTTACTCTCACAAAACTACAAAATACCAGCAAAATAGATCTATATAATCCTAACATGGCCTGTTCTGTGCAGAAGGATTAGGGCAATGCTATGCCAGTTACTAATTATTATGTATGCACTCCTTTAGAATGCCCAGGAACCCTAGAAGGACTCACTCCTGCTTCATTTTTTAAGCTTGTTTCCTTGCGTTTCTTCGGAAGGGTAAGAAATCCTTCTGGGCACAGTATCTCATCTGTGTCTACTTGAAAAAACATAAAATTTCAAAATACCCTCAACTCACCACCTACCCCATGCCCCTTCAATTTTTTTTTTTTAAGATTTTATTTATTTGTTAGAAAGAGAGAGAGAGAGCACACGCACAAGCAGGGGGAGCTGCAGGCAGAGAGAGAAGCAGGCTCCCTGCTGAGCAGGGAGCCCGATGCAGGGCTCAGTCCCAGCACCCTGGGATCATGACCTGAGCCGAAGGCAGACGCTTAGCTTAACGACTGAGCCACCCAGGCGCCCCAGTGATTTGTTATTTTATAACATTGTTTAAAAAGGCTCTATTTAAACTCTGAAGAATCCCTTGTGGACTAAGTAATCTTGTATGAATCAGAGGTAAAGAGAAAACCCTCAAGATTTGTTAAATGAGGATACATGGCCATGCCTAAGGTCAAAGGATTAAAAAAAAAAATCAAATACATTTTCTTCAGTTTTTGAGTAAAGCATTTCAGTTTCAAAGAATAAGAAAAAGGAAATAAAGAGGAATTATTAACTGAAAGTGGAATTCAGTTGCTCTACACATATTTTTTTATTCACAATTGGAGAGGCGTAAAAGTAATCCTGATGCTCTCAAGATTCAGCCATTTTGAAAGGTCCTTAATAGAAAAAAAATCTAGCATTTGAAAATTTTTAACAAGGTCTGTATAACTGAAGTTAAGGTAGGCAGGCAAAAACTACAATTATTTGTTCATCATGCTGAAAACAAGCATAATGAAGTTATGTTTAGAAGCTGGAAAGTAACTGTTCAGAGGCAGCTCTACTTACACTTGAATGCTGTTTCTGGTTCTATAAAGATAAGCATTATCAGTGGATTTTTACTTAAAATTGGAGATTAAAGATAGGTGGCAAAATCAGCAAACTAGACAACCAACTCATATCAAGTAAAATATTAATCTAGTTTTAAATATGTATAAAGTGCTTATGTTGAAAAACCCCAACCATTTGTTTCATTTACTATTTGAATCTTACATTCAGCATGAAAATTACAACATGAAAAGATGTTTGTATCTATTGTTTTTTCTTTTCTTTTTTAAAAAGGATTTTATTTATTTATTTGTCAGAGAGAGGGAGCGCGCGCACGCACAAGCAGGGGGAGCGGCAGGCAGAGGGAGAAGCAGGCTCCCCGCCGAGCAGGGAGCCCGATGTGGGACTCAATCCCAGGACCCTGGGATCACGACATGAGCTGAAGGCAGACGCTTAACCAACTGAGCCACCCAGGCGCCCCTCTATTGTCTTTTCTTAATGTCCATTTTTACATGTTGGATCATTTGGGGGGAAATTGTTGTGCCAATTTGTACAATCACACAAAGGTTTTGCACACATTAAGACACTGACATTACGGGAACTGGTGAAATGAGATGAAACTAGACTGCCTCTGAGGTTCTTTTTCTAACTTTCCAAACAATGGCATACTGGTATGACAACAAAGGATGCAGAAATTCTGTATGCATTGCTCTGGAGGAATGATGATGATGACAGCAGCAATCACTGTAATGATAAGAGCATGAGCTATACTATACCCATGGTCACTGCACTTGCAGCTTGTTTCATTTATGAAGACGAATGCATTTCATCTTCTAACAACTCTGGGAAGCAGGTACTATTTCTACTATCCCGATTTTATAGCCAGAGAAAGGCAAAGCCAAGTGAGGAGTAACTTGTCCAAGATCACACAGGTAGTTATGGCAGAGGTTAAGATTTGAACCAAGGCAATTTGGTTCCAGAGGCCATACTCTTAACCACTACCAAGGTTCTACAAATATTTACTGAAGTTCTACTACACTGGTAAGTGAGAAAAGCAAGGTGCAGATCAGGATAATATGTGCCCATTTGTGTAATGAAGGGAAAAGAATATATACATATTTGACTATATTCCATAAAATATTTCCAGAAACTCAAAACAGTGATTGCCTCAGAAGAGGGGAAATGATTAGCTAAGGGACTGGGGCAAGACACAGATTTTTACCTTTTGAACTGTGAACCGTGTGAGTATATTACCGATTCAAAAAATCATATAAAATTCTATTATCTATAAGGTTAAAGTTAAAATGAGTTACTATCAACACTAACAAGCTCTCCTAACATCTGACAGAAGTTTCAGAATAAAGAACATATGTCATTGCTAAGGAACTGAAAAGCCAAGAAAGGAATGGGAGAATGACTGGATCATGTCGTAATCTGAGAATAAAATTAAATTGGAACCATTAAAATCCGTTTTCAGGAAAAGACTATAATACACAAATACTAATTGGAAATTATGTGAAAAAAGAAAGCAGATTGAAACTTTTCAAACAACAGGATTTCATTACTGATAATTATTCTTTTTCCTACTACGAAGATTAGAAAGAATATGCCTGAAATTCTGAAGGTAAAAAAAGCTTTTCCTGGGCACCTGGGTGGCTCAGTTGGTTAAGCGACTGCCTTCGGCTCGGGTCATGATCCCAGAGTCCCGGGATCGAGTCCCACATCGGGCTCCCCGTTCGGCAGGGAGTCTGCTTCTCTCTCTGACCCTCCCCCCTCTCGTGTGCTCTCTCTCTCATTCTCTCTCTCTCAAATAAATAAATAAATAAAATCTTTAAAAAAAAATATTAAAAAAAAAAAAAAGAAAGCTTTTCCTGCGTTTTCATGCAGTTACCATCAATCCCACAAGGGGATGCTATAGCTCTACAAATGACAAAGGAGCCTAACTTCTGATTTAAAATGGCATTCACATTTTTATACTTCCTTGTATCTATGAAGTATAAATAAATTAGGAGATGTTTCTATTCCATGTTGTATAAATTTTTTTAAAGATTTATTTGAGAGCGAGCGAGAGATAGCAAGGGGGAGAGAGAGAGAGAGAACAAGCAGGGAGAGGGGTAGAGGGAGAGGGAGAAGCAGCCTTCCTGATGAGCAACGAGCCAGAATTTGGGCCTTGATCCCAGGACTCTGGGATCATGACCTGAGCTGAAGGCAGATGCTTAACTGACTGAGCCACCCAGGCACCCTGCATTGTTGTATAAATTTTAGAACTTACACTTTTGGCTTTAAAATGTTTTAAAATACTATTGGCAAAAAAATCTATAGGAATAAACTTAATTTCTGTTTGTCAGTGTTCTTACATCCTGCCAAGGTGGACAAAGTTTGTCAGATTTGGAGGACCTGTCTGGAAACAGTCTTACTTAAAATACAAGCCGGGTGGCACATTTCAGGTTCACTTTTGAGGGGTCCTGAGAGCCCTAACAACTCACTTTTTAATTTTGTACGAGTGGCATGCCATACAATTTTAAAGACCTAACAAAGTGAGTGCAGAGATTTTCTTTTTCTTTAAGATTTTATTTTTTTTGAGAGAGAGAGAGAGAGAAAGCATGAGCAGCGGGGAGAGGTAGAGAGAGGGAGAAGCAGACTCCCCGCTGAGCAGGGAGCCTGCCATGGGGCTCGATCCCAGGACCCTGGGATCATGGCCTGAGCCAAAGACAGACACTTAACCGACTGAGCCACCCAGGCTCCCCAAGAGATTTTCATTTTAAAATATATGCTATTTTACAGAAGGTGGAAGAAGACATGAGGTGGGGGGTGTGACAGGTCTCAAAGGTTGTTTGTCAATTTTTCAAAGTGAGCAAGCTTAATCCCCTCCAAAGCTGGATACATCTTTGAAATTATACAAAATGCCACCAGAAAGACCAATAAATCTTAGATCTGTATTAGCAAGAGGTAAAAATAAAATAAAAATTTTGAGAGTCTAAAAATCCGTCTATAACAGAGTTCAAAGTGAATTATGTCTGGCAGTCAATATGTAGAGGCAGGCTCTTTTAAAGACAAATGAGATTGATGCCCACAGTAAGAAACATCTACACACTTAGTTTCAACTCCTCTTCTGGACACTGAAACTGAGTTCTAAATAGCGGGCATTAGAGGCAAATGAGAAAGGCCTGTTTTTTTTATGCCCAGTAGAAACCCAAGTCTAGCATGAGGGCTGCTGGGCAACCTACTGGAAGGCATGGATAGGCATGCTTTTAAGTGCTCTAGACAGAAAAAAATGATAGTTTCACATCAGTTCTGTTAAGGAAAATAACATCAGTTTAATGTATGAACATTACGTTTTATCAACAATCAGTTTAATGTCACTGTTAAAGACATGAAAAGGTAAAATACTGTAACCATTATTGAGCCACCAGACCACCTCAAGAAAGTATTTACTCAATCAGCTCAACATCTGGACCCTAGACACACTTACTTACTTACTTATTTATTTATTACGAGTGGGGGTGGGAGGAGAATCTCAAGCAGACTCCCAGCTGAGCACGGAGCCCAATGTGGGGCTTGATTTCACAACCTCGAGATGATGACCTGAGCTGAAATCATGAGCTGCACGCTCAACCAATTCAGCCACCCAGGCTCCCTGACCCTAGACATTTAGAAAGTAACATCAGAGCCATTCATAGTGCATTTCAGTAGGGTGTGGTAAAGGAAAATCACTGGTTAGATCCCATAAACAGTTGATTCCCTGCCATAAACCCCTCTGTTTTCAAACATCCACAGTTCCCATTATATTAATAAGGCTTCTGTACTGAAGATGCTGATCTGCGACCAAGCATCTTACACCTGGGCAACTCTTATATAATGTTTTAAATGATTTTAATTTTCTCCTTAAAGATTTCATTTTTGAACAGAACAATATTCCTCGATAATTCAGTTCTTATATCTCAGTACTAGAGATTAAGTCATAAAACCATCAATGTACTTCTATTTCTGCAAAAATAAATAAACCAAATCAATAAAAGTTAATGACTTCTGGCTTATTCTACCTCAAATTTAAAAATCTGCTTATAGTAAGCATTTATTTGCATGTACATTTTATTAAAGGAGATGACCTACTGTGGAGTTCACTAGAATGTTTGTCTTCTTACCAGGCTTGATGAGAGGAATCATTTCTTAACACGTTCACAGGAACCTTAATCTCACCCAGGAAAATATCTTGAACCAGGTTTCCATTGTTCCACAAGTCGATCCTGAAAATTTAAAACCGGCTTTATTTTTTGCAAACAATGTTTAAGAGAACACACGCCACCAGGTAGCTTCAAATCACTTTGATTGTATTATAGCATTAATTTTACATGCTTAAAAGTAAGAGATGTTAGCACTGTCATATGCCTTATTAACTAAACTAAGAAAACAAAATATTGCAGTAGCTTTTATTTATAAGCACAGAATGTAACTATTTTAAATAGTCTATAAGTTTCTTAGTTTCAAAGTCTAGGCTTTATTTTAACCTGTAGCAGTAAGAACTAGAGTTACTTTGTTGAATCTGAGAAAAGAAACCACAAGACTACAGTTTCTTTCTCAATTAGAGCCAGTTAATATGTAAAGATAGGTGATTTGGAAAAATACATTACCTGATCATTCCAAACATGTGACTAACACACCCTTTAGATGAACACACTGTTAACACCACACCTGAACATGCACTTACAGAACTTTCCCCTCCCAAACAGGATAGAGATTTAAGACCTAAATAGCACAAACTTCAAACACATGCACCTGTTGAATTATCTTACAAGACTTCTTACCTCACTGAAATTTCTGTTAGACAGCAGATATGTTAAGAAGAATAAAAAAATTATTTCTAAATTGGCTAAAATATAATTACTTTTCTATATATTCTTTGCACCCATTGTGTTATGATTCAGAAACTTAAAGAGCAATTAAATTTGTGAAAAATAAAAATATAGTAAAATAGGTGAAAATTAGGTCATCTTTGGTTTTAAATAAATACACCTTGACTACTTCTGCAAGGAAAACAGATTTTGAAAAGATAATATGAATTTAAATTAGATGCATGTTCCTCTAAGTTTCATCAACTAACTTGCTAAAGAGAAATCTATTAAGCTTGGCTCACCTATTTTCTTTTTAGGATTTTTTTATTTGGGATCTAGGATTTTCTTTTGGCACCAAAAAAAACAATTCTGTAAAACTCCAAGACAAATACCTAATTTCTAGCTTTTCAATGTCCTCCTCTTCTACCTGGAACTGGGACTTCCTTGTGTAACTACTGGATCTGGTTACCTGTGAACAAAAAATTTTAGTTGACAACATATTTTTAAATATTTTTTTCCTACAGGAACTTAAAAAACCATCAAAATGTTCAATTGTGTTTATTATAAACAAAGGGAAAACGCTTAGGTAATAGTTTCCCCCAAAGCTAAAGATTAAAATGGCTATGGAAGTATCAGGGAGGAAAGAATAAGGCAGTATAAAAATACCAACAACAATCTTGCCTCCATGCCCTCCTTTATTGACTCAATCTACAGCAACACTAGGTTCTCTGACTCACATGGAATCTGTTAGTGGCTCAAAGAGTAAAAGTGTTCTATTTTGGTGAAGCTGCACATGCTAAGAACCATTTGAAGACTTTCCCACATTTCTCAAGCTATCATTTCTATCCTTACACTTCCTTCTCGCATTTTTACCAAAAATATCAAGGCTACTGGCAGGGACTTCCTCAGCTCCCATCCACCTGAACATGTCCATTCTCACATAGGTCCTTCTACTTGATGAGTTTTCTCATTTCTTCTGAACAAGAGATGAGATGATCCTCCTCTTTTCCAAGACTATTGCACCCATGCATGATATACAGTAAGCATGCAGTAAGCATTTGATCTATTTTAATTATAGCTTTCATTACCAGCTTATTCACCTCACTCAAGGCTAAGAAAAATTCTACACTTAAATTATGGTCTTCCTATCTGCTTCCTTTCACAGACAAATATCTCAAAACTGTAATCCATCCTTACAGCCGCCACTTCCTCACACCCACTCACTACAGTAACTCCTTATAATCTGGTTTCCTCACAGATCACCCTCCCCAAACCCCTCTCTTAGTCACCAAGTCTGATGGTGAGTCCTTAGTTCTTGTCTTCCTTGACCCCTCTATCAGAACAAGTGAATACAACTATACCTCCTTGCCACAAACACTCTTTTGAGTTTACCCAGGCACTACCGAGGCGACCTCCTGCTCTCTGCTTCTTCCTGTGGGACCTCTTCTTCCTCAGAACCTATAAATATGGGTTTTCTCCATGGTTTTAACTTTTATTTTGCTCTAAGAGCTGCAAAGGGCTGTACAGTTTACAAAGTGCTTTCACATCCATTATCTTCTTTGTTCATCAGAATGCTGCTCTGAAGCAGGCAGGGCTAGATTTATTATCCTCATCTTGAAAAATGAGGAAGTTAAGAGATGTGCTCAAAGCTAAATATCTAATAAGTGGCAGAACTGAGCTTCCTCACTTTTCTCCTATACTGTATACCTCTATTCCCTTGGCTTTCTTGACTCTCTCTAAGCAAATCTTGAGTCCTTATCTACGGCCATCACCCATCTTAAGTTTCAGTCATGAACTGCCTATTGCAAGGTTTTCATGTCAGACCTCAAGTTCAGTATGTCCCAAACTGAACCACTTCTGCTTTCCTTAACTTTTCCATTATTCCAGATTTGAAACCATGAGGACATCGGACTTCTCCCTTTTCGTCTTTTCTTCTATAATCAATTTGTTATCCTGCCCTTTACAGCTTCTTTCTCATCTGTCACTTTCTTTTTCCATGTTACACTCTTGGATCAGAACCAACCCCCCCCCACTTTTTTTTTTTAAACACCTAAACTGTAAGAGTCTCTTGATCTCTGTTCTTTCTCAGCCACTGGCCCACAGATCACGGTTAATTCTTCCCAAAATACTGCATTACTCTTACCACTTCCAGGCTCAAAAACATTCAACAGCTACTCTGTAAGCACACCAGCCAAGTATTCAATGCCTTTCATAGTTGGTCCAAGTCCAGCTTTTAAGCTTTGTTCCAATTATTCTCTTATAGAACCTTTCCAGTTAAATCATTATTTGCTATTCTTTGGACATAACTTTCTGCTTTTCTGTCTCTTTGTCTCTGCTCAAAATGTTCTTTCTCTGTAATACTCCTTTTCCCTCACTTAACTTGGCTGGAGCAGAGCTCATCTGACCTCCCCAGCATCTACTGCATTTTGCTGCTGTGTGCACGCATGCATATGTGTGCTCTGTGTTTCTTGCTTTAGCTCGAGGACAGAGATTGAATCTTATCTTTATAATCAGCTCAACAAAGGGCTTTTGAAAAAATGCTTTAAGGCTTCACAGGTACACTTGGGTATAGCAAGCAGGGCAGGCCTTGCCTTTCAAAGGACCATCTGCTTGCTGCAAGTTGCCCCATGTTTTCTGCAGGCTAGATGTAATAGCCATTGATAAATGTGTAACAACCAAAGTCCTTAGCCAGGAAATGGAAAAGTCTCACACTGGTACCTTTTCTTTTGTTTTTCTTTCTCCCTTGCCTCCACCCCCACAATTCTTCCTACTTCAGTTTGGTATTTTCTTTAACCTATGTTTCTTTATTAAAGTACAGTAATCAGGCATGGCTAGATGTGCTCTCACTCGTCTCCACTTTGAATTATCAAGAAAAACACACACAAAAGAGGAAAAAGCACATAATGTAACTTTCTCCCAAATCTTTCCTACCTGTTTATCTCACTTGCAACATGTTCTATGGTTAGAACACAATCTTTAGAAATCAGAGGTCAACTTTTTTTTTCTGTAGTTTTCAAATAATATGAAAAAGGATTTCTTTAACAAATGCTCCACAGTAAAGAACTCCAAAGCACTGTATTTTGGGGCAACTTCAAGGCAGCTGAAGATCTCTATGAAAATAAGCCTGTGTCTGTAGAGGCAATTAGCTAAAAAGAACTTAATAATAAGGCCTTAATTATATAGTACTTTATGGTCTCAAAGCATTCTCACATTTGGGCCTCCTAAAAACTCTGTCAGGTTTGGCTAGTGTTTTCTCTTACAAAATTATCCTTTCACAAGATAAAATTAAACCTCACATTTAGTGATTTATTCCATGTTAACTGGGACAAGAACTCCAACCAAGTGATGTCATACTTACTTTACTAGTGATTTTCAAGTACTCTGTAGAAGAGTCCAGTGGCCACTGTGTGTCAGGTGGGGGGCTGGATAAAGTCGGGGGGGGTGTGTGTGGAGGAGGGTGTGATAATAGGGATGACTAAGAAGTAGGTGTGGCCCTAGTCCTCCCTATCCCCAAATCAGTTATAGCTCTGCCTTTATTTGTTTTATATACTGGGCCTCTACCACATTACATCATGGTTCTACTGCTCTTGGAATACAAATGCTTAGTTGCATTAGGTGATTAAATGATTACTATGGCTATAGTTCAAAAAAAGAAGTAAACCAGCATTCAATATTAAATATTCAGTGTCAACATTTATATAAAATAAAAAGTTACCTCAAAATAAAAGATTTCATTAAACTGCGGATTGCTTGTTTTCTTCTTTACTTTTGTCTTCTTTTGGTCATTCCTGTTCCAATGTGGTAGAGTTTTACCTTGTAGAACTTAATAGTACACAATTATAAAACATGCTATTTCCAACCAGGGAGACTGACCTTCCTTTAGCTGTTAAGATGACTCAGGGAAAACTATAGTTTTAAATATTACTTGGGGAAAAAACTTGAGGTGTCTCTAAAGACTCAAATCAAAGAAAATACAAGTTTGTATATGTAATATATGACAAGATTGTATTTTCTCTCTATGGCTACACTAGGTTGACTATCAAGTTTATTTTATATATACTAGCTTATTTTATATCAGAATGGTAAAAGGAAGACAGTGAGATTCAGGGTACCTTTATCTATGCTGAAAAATACCTGAGGAACATGAAAAGCATTCTTAACTGATCTTGGGCTTCAGCTACAATATGGCTTTTTAAAAAACTTTTTATTTTGAGGGCACCTGGGTGGCTCAGTTGGTTAAGCGACTGCCTTCGGCTCAGGTCATGATCCTGGAGTCCCTGGATCGAGTTCCGCATCGGGCTCCCTGCTCAGCAGGGAGTCTGCTTCTCCCTCTGACCCTCTTCCCTCTCATGCTCTCTCTCTACCATTCTCTCTCTCAAATAAATAAATAAAATCTTTAAAAAAAAAAACAAAAAACTTTTTATTTTGAAATAATTAGAGAAGGTTGCGAGAAATGTACAGGGAAGTCCCATGCAGTCTTTCCCCAGCCTCTCCCAATTTTAACATCTTATGTGACAGTAGGACACTATCAATACTAATAATGACTCTTAAAAACAAATTCATATGCCAGTTTCCATTTGTATGTTATTAAATGATTACACTAAAGAATTTGTCTTCAACTACAGATTATAAACAAAAACACAAATAGCTCCAATAGGTTAAACATTTTTAACATACAGAACTAATCCCTGATAGCATGAATGTTAAAGGATTGAGTATCTGCTTTCAAATTTAAAACCATCTATAGTAATAACAGTGCAATATTGTTTGAGCATGGCACTAGGTATTTTATATACATATATAAATACATTTTTTAAAGTGACTTACTGGTGATTTTCTAACAAATAAAAATACCTATATTGTACACCTAAAACTAATATAACACTGTATGCTGACTATCCTGGAATTAAGAAAAATTAATAAAAATAAATAATAAAAAGAATACCTAGAGAGCCTGAAGTTGGGGAGAAGGGGTGTGTGTCTGTGTATGTATGTATGTATGTATGTGTTTGGTATGGAGGGAATATTTTGCTCTTTGTTTCCTGATTTTAAACCTTCAAGTTGTAGGCAAATTTCAGACTAGTCAGGCTCTGAAAGAAATCATAATGAAGTTATAAAATACGAAATATACAAATTGCTGTAGGTTTTTCCATAAATCATCATAAATAATTTAAATCAATGATATGGTGCACTTTACCATGTTCTGGTACTTCAGCAGTCTGTCTACAGCTTGGGATTCTCTCTGTAGAGCATAGATGCCGTGAGTAGAAAAGGCATTTTTAGTTTTGAGCTGCTTTCCAGATAAAAATATGGAAACTGCCTTGTGATTCTGGGCTAGCATTTCTTAAAACAGGATTTTACCTACATAAAATCTAAGACATTTGAAGGTAGGAAGGCCAATGATGAATGAAGAAGGTCAAGTTTATGTTGTAAAGTACATTTTAACTACTATAAAACTAATGTTGCTTCCCACAGTCTAAGAATCCAGCATATTTGAAAGGGCAACCACTTTCTTTCTATAAAAACACGGCTTGGTTGTTTGCAAGTGTGTAACAGAACTCACTAGAGATCTTTCTTTCAAAGCATTCACTACTTTGTGTCATAAAGAGCTATTTAGCATTTATTCTTAGAATCTTAATTTGGTAATTCTTAAGTCACATTTTAAAACTTAAAAATCTAATAATAATTTGCTCTCCTACTCTGAATTCTGAACTCCAGGTTACAAATAGAAGCCAACCACTGATCATTTCAATGTAATGAATGTCAAAGAAGGAAATCATTTGTTAAGCCCATATACATATTGAGTCTTCAGATCCAGAGATGTTTACATTTCTGGATTAAAATCAGTGTACTTATGGTAAATAAAGGCATGTTTGAAGTTGTTTAGAGGTTAAAAAAAAATCTAATAATAATTCAATAAACATTACCTACCAATGACATGGATGGAGCTAGAGAGTATTATGCTAAGTGAAATAAGTCAGTCAAAGAGAAATACCATAATATGATTTCACTCATATGTGGAATTTAAGAAACAAAACAAATGAGCATAGGGGAAAAAAAAAGAGAGACAGGCAAATCAAGAAACACTGACTCTTAACTACAGAGAACAAACTGTTGGTTACCAGCAGGGAGGTGGGTGGGGGGATGGGGCAAATAGGTGATGGGGATTAAGGAGCGCACTTGTAATGAGCACTGGGTGTTGTATGGAAGTGTTGGATCACTGAACAGTACACCTGAAACTAACATTACAGTGTATGTTAACTAACTGGAATTTAAATAAAAACTTAAAAAAAAATAAACATTACCTAGAAGGGCCCACTAGAGAAACTGTTGCATAAGGGTCACAGCTTTGTCCATTTATGAGGGGCAACCCATGGCATGCCATGATGCTAAGGAAGAATAAAAGAAAGTTAACATATATTCAAGTTTAACAACATAAAGCATTATTTTTAAGTACAAATTAATATATTCAAAGGGTTAAAACTGTTTTCCACAAGTCTGCAGAAGTATGCCTATATACCACCTACCCCAAATACATCTATCTATACTGTGCACTTATTTATGCTATATTTCTGAAATAGGACTTAAACTAGATTGCCACAATCAGTACTGGGACTACCAAATAATATGTAGCACACATCCCCCCACTAAATATCCAGCAAGGCCCAGTCGTGGTTTGACAATATATTAAAACTGCTGTGGCTTCTAAACAGGAAAAGAATGTGGTGTGAACCTTAAAGGAGAAACTACAAACCAAGCTAGATCTATGGCATCACATCCTCTGCTAAAGCATGAATGAGAAACAAGGAAACGACTGTGGTTTCCACTTAAAATCTGATTCATAAATAGAGGGCAAGCCTCACACAATTCTGGAGCCTTTTACTCTGATTCTCAGTAACAGCTCCTACATCATTCTGCAGAAAATGTTTCAGAACTTAAAAACCAAGCTCTTCTAATCCGATCTATAGGTAAAGTCACTGGTATTTACAGAGGACATTGAATCTAACTTAAAGATCTGCTCCCCACATTTCCTCACTCAATATTTAGTTCACGAATTTAGTTTAACATCTAAGGGTCTGCATTTTGTAATGTCTACGAAAAACTCAGGAGAGTTGCTGAAAAGTATTCTTTGTTGAAAGATGTGGGCTATTGAGCAACATCCTTATTTCTCTCCACAACCCACAGATCATATATGTGGGTGAAGTGCATATGCTGTGCTGCCAAGTAAAGAAATAAATGATAATATGACTCATTTCTATTAAATTGAGTATCAAAAATCAAATTTTAAAAATTTCTGAAACTAACCAAAGAAAGCACAGGCCAAGATAATAATTCTGGTTATTAATGTTAGGTTTGGGTACAGTCAAATTTTCCAACTATATACCGTTTGAAACTTAGTCCTCAGGCTAAATCTCAAAATGATACCTGGTTTTTATATAGCATTTGTAGTTTACCATGTATTTTGACAAAATGTATCTAATTCCCACAACTGGCTTTAAGAAAAAACACCTTAAAGAGGAAAATAAGGCCCAAAAAGATTATGACACAGTAACAAAATAAGGCTAAAGAGGTAATACTACTTGTACAAAGTGGGCCAAGACCCAACTTCTACTTTCTTAACTGTTTCTAAAGTCCAGTGTCTTTCTACATTCCCTACTGCACCTGAATTTATTGTATTACTCTCCTTGTAATACCAGATTTATCTCATGTAAACACTAATTATGAGAAATCTTATAGAAAGTCACTATAATTTTATGAAGTATAAAAAAAACCTAAGAAAAATGCAGTTCATTATACAAAGACTTCTATAAGAATACTTCACAACGCAAAACAATGATGTCCATAAGCCAGAAATATGAATCTATAAAAATCATCAGAAGTGGTCTTAACTTTTAAATGTAAGATAGTTTTAAAATTGTTTTGACAAACTCAGTATTATTAAATACAAATTATTTTATTTACTGCATGTCATGAAATATTTTTCTAATTACTGAGAATACAACTATTCTTCTAATCAGTGAATCAAGCAAATTCATATCATAAACCATGGATAAGCAGAAAACAAATGTTGAAAATGAGCTTAGTATACTAAATCATCTTACATTTTGTTTAAATATGACATTTGATATTAATACATTTTCTAGAAATTGCAAAGGAAAATAAATTTAGTCCAAACTTGTTTAAAATATAGAATGACCTAAATCTCTTCCTTGAGGTTTTGTTGTTGTTGTTTTAAACTAGAAGACAAGTGTTAACGTCTATGTACAGCCAAGAGGGAGTAACAGGGAAAAGAATTACCTCCCTGCCTGAAATAACCGGGGGCGGGGTGGGGGGGGAAGAACAAAATTGGCAGTGCAGGACACTGATCTCTGAGGGGAGAAGAAATGAAGTGGGCCCCTAATTGTCCCAGCTTACTGCTAGAGGGAGAGTTGTCAGTTGGCAACTAGAGTTCCCAAGGCAGAGTACCAGAGAAAAGAAAAGCTAAACAGAAAGAAACCTCCAGAGAGCTACAAGAATCCCCCTAGGGTCATTAGCTGAGTGTTGATAAGCATATACGTGTGAGGAAACTGAGGCTAGGGAAAGAATCATTTGAAAAGAGCAGAGGGCCTTCAGCTTGGGTTGTGATCCTGGGGTCCTGGGATCAGGTCCTGCTCTGGGCTACCTGCTCAGCGGGGAGTCTGCTTCTCCCTCTCCCTCTGCCCCTCCCCCACCAACTCATGCTCTCTCGATTGCTAAGTAAATAAATAAAATCTTTTTTTTTTTTAAGATTTTATTTATTTATTTGAGAGAAAGAGAGAGAGAACAAGCAGGGGGAGGAGCAGAGGGAGAAGCAGGCTTCCCGCTGAGCAGGGAGCCCAATGTGGGGCTCAATCCCAGGACCCCGGGATCATGACCTGAGCCGAAGGCAGACACTTAACGACTGAGCCACCCAGGCGCCCTAAATAAATAAAATCTTAAAAAAAAAAAAAAGAGCAGAGGGAACAATTCCTGAAGCCCACAAATGGCTAGCATAAGGTCCTACCAGCCATATCATGAAACCTGGTAATTCACAGATGCTGCCTCATGACTGAGAAAACATAAGTCCTAGACTAAAGGCTGCTCTTATTCCATCCATCAAAGTTTAAAAGCAAACCACAAAAGAATGAAACTGTTTCCAAGTTACTTAACTGGGTCCTCAAGTGTACTGATAAAAATATAAAAATATCCAGAAACTTCGTAATGTCTAGTATCAGACAGAAAATAACCAGGAACACAAAGAATCAAAAAAAATAGGAGCCAACATATCTCAATAAACAATAAAAATCTCAAACAACCTAATCTTACACACAAAGGAGCTAGAAAAAGCAGCACAGCAAAACTCCAGTAGGAGGAAGGAAATAATAAAGATCAGAGGAGAAATAAATGAAATAGAAACTTAAAAAACAATAAAACATATCAATGAAACCAGGAGATGGTTCTTTGAAAAGATCAACAAAATTGATAAACCTTAGCCAGACTCCCCAGAGGAAGAGAGAGGGAGAAAGAGAGAGAGGACTCAAAAACAAAATCAGAAATTAAAAGAGGAGAAATAACAACTGACACCACAGATATACAAAGGATTATAAGAAAATATTATGAAAAATTATATAATTTTATAACAAATTGGACAACCTAGAAGAGATAAATTCCTAGAAACATGTAACGTTCCAAAACTGAATCAGGAAGAAATGGAAAATTTGAACATGAACAGACCAATTACCAGCAATGAAATTGAATCAGTAATCAAAAAATTCCCAACAAACAGAAGTCCAGGACCAGATGATGTCACAGGTGAATTCTATCAAACATTTAAAGAAGAATTAGTATCTATTCTTCTCAAACTATTCCAAAAAATACAAGAGATAGGAAGGCTTCCAAATTCATTCTATGAGGCCAGCATTACTTTGACAACCAAAACCAGATAAAGACACTACAAAAAAAAGGGAACTATAAGTCAAAATCTCTGATGAAAGTGGATGCGAAAATCCTCAACAAAATATTAGCAAATCAAATCCAACAATACATTAAAAAAATCATTCATCATGAACAAGTGGGATTTATTCCCAGAATGCAAGGGTGGTTCAATATTCACAAATCAATCTACATGATATATCACATCAACAAGAGAAAGGATGAAAACCACATGGTCATTTCAACAGATGCAGAAAAAGCATTTGACAAAGTACAATATCCATTCATGATAAAAACCCTCATTAAAGTAAGTTTAGAGGGAACATACCTCAACATAATAAAGGCCTTATATGAAAAACCCACAGCTAAAATCATCCTTAATGGGGAAAAACTGAGCCTTCCCCCCAAGATCAGAAACAAGACAAGAATGTCCACTCTCACCACTTTTATTCAACATAGTACTGGAAGTCCTAGCCACAGCAATCAGAAAACAAAAAGAAAAAAAAGGCATCCAGATTGGTAAGGAAGAAGTAAAACTTTCACTATTTGTAGATGATATGATACTGTATATAGAAAACCCTAAAAACTCCACCAAAAAACCAGAACTCCTAAATGAATTCAGTAAGGTTGCAGGATACAAAATCAATATACAGAAATTCATTGCATTTCTATACACTAATAATGAAATAGCAGAAAGAGAAATTAAGAAAAAAATCCCATTTACAATTATGCCAAAAACAATAAAATACCTATTAATAAACATAGTCAAAGAGGTAGAAGATCTGTATTCTGAAAACTATAATACACTGATAAAAGAATTTGAAATGAAGGGGGGGAAATCGGAGGGGGAGACGAACCATGAGAGACTATGGACTCTGAAAAAAAAACTGAGGGTTCTAGAGGGGAGGGGGGTGGGGGGATGGGTTAGCCTGGTGATGGGTATTAAAGAGGGCACGTTCTGCATGGAGCACTGGGTGTTATACGCAAACAATGAATCATGGAACACTACATCAAGAACTAATGATGTAATGTATGGTGATTAACATAACATAATAATAATAAGAAAAAAGAATTTGAAGATGACAAAAACAAATGGAAAGATATTCCATGCTCATGGATTGGGAGAACAAATATTGCTAAAATGTCCAGGCTACCCAAAGCAATCTATACATTTAATGCAATCCCTTTCAAACAACAGCCTTGTTCACAGAACTAGAATAAATAATCCTAAAATTTGTATGGAACCACAAAAGACTCCAAATAGCCAAATCAATCTTGAAAACAAAAGAACAAAACTGAAGGTACTGCAATCCCAGATTTCAAGATATAGAGTACTGGCACAAAAAAAGACATACAAATCAATGGAACAAATAGCCCAGAAATAAATCCATGATTACATGATCAATTAATCTTCTACAAAGGAAGCAACGATATGAAATGGGAAAAAGACAGTCTCTTC